GGGAACCTCCCCAAAGTTAGGGTTGGGGAAAGGTTTTTGGTTTTATCTTTCAGGAGAATGAAGGCTAAGGAATATGAAGAACTCTGGACAAGTGAGGCATCTGAAAAAAAAGGCCAAATCATCTAGAAAAAAACATCCCAAGAAAAAGAGTAAATTGGCCAATTGGTAGATCACATATCTAACAAGATAAAATTTCATAAGTCTTTCTAAATGTTTGTTTCTGCTGTTCTCTACAGACACATAATGCAAATGGTCTTTATGTAGTTCCAGTTTAATTAAAAATTAAAGCTGGCTTTGGAGTTGGAGTGTGGCTCTCTCCTTCTCTAAACCCAAGAATGCTTGTTAAAAGAAAATGCAAATCTCAGAATCATGTCAGAAGAGCCATGTGATATGGGACAGAATAAAAGCCAAAATTAAGGGGCTACTCTATTGACAGAAATCTCATAATTCTTTGGCTTTATTTTGACTCTTTAAAACTTTTGTTGAGGTATGAATTTTATATCAAATTAATAAGATTAATATATATATTTTAAACTTTTGCCATGATATTAATGGTCATATAGAGTACTAATTCTAGAAAAGCCTTCATCTAGCTTCCTGTACATGACTTTGGGTTTGAATCTCTATCAGTTTTCTGCAGGAAACCATGACCAGGCCTAACAGCAACTTTGAAGTCTCCAAACAGATGATGGGGCTCCACAAGGATGATTCCACATGGACAATAATAAAACCACTAAGCTGACAAACACCACCCAAAGATCAGCTTTGCACTACAAACTGCTCAGGACAATTTCAAGATGGTTAACTGAGATGATCCATCCTCACAGACTCCTCGAACAAGGACTTGAGACAAGCCCTACACTTTCCCATTATGCGAAAATTGGACAAATTATACAGCTAACCCTCTTAGGACTTGATAATTTACCAAAAATTTTCTTGTCAGGATCCCCTAAAGATGCCTTCACCCCCAGAGATCAGGAAGTAATTTTAAGAAAATGATGCCCACATTTCCAAAAGGTGGGGTGGGTGGTTTTTTGGTTGTTCAATGGGTTATGGACAATTGTTATTGTTTAGGATTGTTGGTTATCAAGTTATTAATTGGTAATGGTCAGGGAAAAAAAGCTAAACAAGGAGATTAGATTCAGGGTTCTTGCTTGAAAAAAAGAGGATATAGATAAGAGGTAGATTATTGAATCTACTCTGAAAAGAAAAAAAGAGGATATAGATATGATATGATAAAAGGTAGATTTTTGAATCTACTCTGAAAAAAAAAGATATAGAAATGAGGGATAAAGAGTAGATTATTGAATGTACTCTGAAAAGTAAAAAGAGAGAATATGGATATAAGATAAAAAGGTAGATTATTGAATCTACTTTTAGAAAGCAACTACTAGTTTTAAATATCTTATATTGGATTGGATTTTTGTATATTGTATACAAATTATGTATATAGATGCAAATTTGAGATTTTGTTAGAAATACTGTACATATATTTCTAATCTTGTTCAAGGTATTGTACCTATGCAGCTCATTTAACAATGTAATGCAAATTGCTAGTCCTTGAAAGTTGTTATTACCAACTAATTAGGATATAAAGAAATGCAAGTTAGTATTTAGTCACTTATTACAATTGAACTTGTAGTCATATTAGGTATGTTTTCAAGGTAAAACAGAAATACATTTTAGATAGACAAGTCATCTTCAAAAACTTTAGTGATCTACAGAATATGGCATTTAAGATCTTTTAATAACATAGATTCTTTCTTTCTTTCTTTTTTTTTTTTTTTTAGGACTATGAGACATGTCTGCTCCTGGCAGCACCAATCTACTTCAGATAAGATATGGGCATCAAAGAAACTCTTTACAGAGTTTACTTTTATTATGGCAAAAAAGCTAGCCACTGGGCAAGAAAGTGCCCTTGCCTCGACTGCTGACAGTATGTTGTCCAAAACAGACAAGCAGGACACAAAAGAAAGGACTGCCAAACCTTGCCAAGACAAGGTAGGACAGCCTTTTTTAAAATCCTGCTTCACAGATGAGTCCATCAGATATGTTAGGCCTGTAGGCTGAAGATGGATGCCTCAACATTGCAGAGGAAACTTGGGTGACTGTCCAGGCAACTAGCTGTTTCTGTCATAACTCACATTTTTTTGGAAATTGCTTGTTTGCACTTCCTCCTTACTCAATATTATTTCCTTCTCAGGTCTCTGAGGGAGTTGAAGATTAGATAGTTATAGTTAGTTATAGTTTTCCTTGTTAACAAATTCAGAACAAAAACTCACTAAAGAGGTGTAAAGTGTATAAGTTTGAAAGATATCAAAAGATAGTTTTTGGTTGGTAATACAAGTTAGGATAGAAAGTGAATTAGGTACATTTTGGACTCACCAAAATAGGATGGATATATAATGGAGTATTTTCACTGAATTTGTCAAATGCAAATGGACTAGACATTGTTGATATATTTATTGCCTATATATATTGTATATAGTTATTATACTTATTGTATATAGTTTTTCTTATATTAGTTATAACCTTTTATTATTTTAGACAAAAAAGGGAAATGTGGTGATATATTGTGTACCCCAATAAAGCTTGCCTGGGGATCAGAGGACAAATACAGTCACTATATTAAACATAGAAGTCAGGTAGTGGTAGCACACACCTTTAATCCTAGTATTCAGAAGGTAGAGATCCACCTGGATTTCTGTGAGTTCAAGGCCACACCGGGAACAGAGCCAGGTGTGGTGGCACACGCCTTTAATCCCAGCACTGGGAAGGAAGGAAGATGGCAGGGCACAGAAACGTATATAAGGCATGAATAAACAGGAACTCACTCTCTTGAGGCTGAGGATTTTGTGGAGGTAAGAACGTGGCTGGCTTGTTCTGCTTCTCTGATCTTTTAGCTTTCACCCCAATATCTGGCTCCAGGTTTGTTTGTTTGTTTGTTTGTTTGTTTGTTTTAAATGATAAGACCTTTTAAGATTCATGTTACAAGGATGTTTTCATGTTACTTATTTTCATGATTATAGAAATAACACATTTTCAGGCCATTAAATTTATCAAGTGCATAAAAGCACAAGGAAAAGATGGTAAATGTAGTCACACTATTACATAACTGAGATAGCCACACACACTTTGAGATGAATACACCTTTATTTTCCCCTCATAATTAAAACTAATTTTGCTTTTGTTACTGAAAGAGATTCAAACATATGTATACATATGTGCGCATGATAAAGAATTCCAATATAAAAAAGGAGGTTTGATGCACATTGAGTCGCCTTTTGCTTAGGCCCTGACCCTTGCCGTTGTCCTCTGTCCCAGAGGGATAGTGAGATCAGACACCATTATGGGCTTAATGGGGTTTATTCTATGTTTTCTCTTTGTCCAGACAGGCATGTGTATTTTCTTTTTTCCCATATGGGCTACAAATGTTTGCATGGTAAACTACTGTTACTTTCACTTTCTCACTCAGCATAGTTTGAAGACCATTCCATCACCTCATAAGACACCCCTTTCTGTGAGTGAGCCACATTTTATTCACAAATACAATTACGTGCTGGTTTTCTATCGCCTGTGCCTCTACTGCTCTAAGAAATGCCATGCCAGAGTAAACGTTCTCTGTGACTGTGCCACACAAATCTGCAGGACTAGTTTCTAGAGTTTATGTGCAAGGTGAATGTCATCACCTTTGTAACCAATCCTAACCTAGAAACCCTTTTTAATATCCAGATGTCCTGGTCAGACCTGTCAGATCCTGAATAGTATAGAGCCTAATATTAATTTACTAAAACTGAGACCTGGATATTTCCTTCTTCTGTATTAATAGTTAGATATGGGCTGTTGAGACAGTCTAATGGCTAAAAATGCTTGCCATAGAAGCTTGACAACCTGTTTTAGTCCTGGAACTCACTGTGGAGGGAGACAACTGACTGCTACATACATACATTCCATTGCTCTCCCCCACACACACACACATACACACACAATAAATAAATTTGGGGTCTCCTCTCACCTCTGACCTCTCTTTTCACCCTTTCCACATTTCCTGACAAACCTTAGAGGCTAAGGCAGAGAACAGCATCTCCACATCATTTTGCTACTATAACTTCTTCTCTTTGCAGGCCAGTTCTTCCCAAGCAGGACAGCTCGGCCTCAGTCACCTGTGTGGTCACACACAGCAGAGGCCAGGTTACTGCTGCCTTCCTATGCTTGTCCTCCCATCACATGTGTGCTACTTTCAGGGATTTCGATATATTCTTTAGACCATCAGCCACTTTCAGGGCACCCCCATATTCTCACAGCCAACCCCAATCATCGAGGAGTCATACCATTCTGCATCACATGAAAACATCCAGTCTGGACTCCCCCGTCACTGACACTCCTCCTCAGCCTCGATTGGATGTCTTATTATCCATGCAAGGGCTGTACAGTTGCCACTATAGCAAGAAAGCATACCATCACATACCACGTGGAGACACTCCTTGAGAACAGTCCCTGAAGACACTCCGCCCTCAGATGGCTCAGCCTCAGTTGTATGTATTAACCATCGTAACAGGGGCCATGCGACTGTACCTCCAAGACTCATCTTTGGTTCTGTTGTGTTCCTATCAAGGTACCAAGTGTTACAAGACTTTTCTCAAGAAGTCTGCATATAATTCACGCCAGATAAGGGAGATAACAACAGACCAAAGAAATTATCCTATTCCAGTCTTAGTGAATCAAAGAGTTTATTGCTGTCACTTAAAGAAGCATGGACAATTTATGATCTAGATACACTGACAAAAAGCCTCTTTCTTTTCAGCAACCCTTAACCATTTGTGTATCTTCATGAGACAGAGAGGAGCCTCATGAATCTCATGAGCCCTTCCCTCCTCCCATGAGGGAATGTTAATAGGCCCTGTCTTGTGAGCCCCCCCCCCCCCCCCGCAATGACCAAGGCTCCTCTGATTCAAGAGAGCAAGGACCACAAACTGGAAGAAGGCAGCCACAAGACCAAGTTCTCATCAACTGGGATATTTAGTTCACTTTTCTAGTTCCAGAATCTATTCTGTTCCATCATGAGCTAACACATTATGTTGGGAACACCCTCTCCATATGCTTCCAGTGGACTCTCTGTGATCCCTAGAGCCCTTATTACATCATTCAGATGAATGTGAGCTCACTGTTGGTGGCTTGCCATTTGGTAACGAATTTTTATTGTTAAAATGTGCCAGGTACTAATTTTCCAAGGAAACTGATACTCTTAAATTCAGAAATGTGAGGAAAAGGCTATAAAATTATACTTCATGTCTCAGGAATTCATAATTCTTAAAATTCCAATAGAGTTTCACAGTCTCAATATCAGGAGTCTTATTCTTACGTAAGTCCCAGCAAAATTCTGGCGACAAGAGTTTAGTGGGTTTGTGGAGGAAGAAGTACTTGTTTAGATGGCTTTCGTCGTGCCAAATTGCTTCAATATTATGTTTCTTATCATTCATAATTCCTTTGGCACACTCCTTAGTAATCTTGAGAACCTGAGTGGCTGTGCCTCCAAAAACAGCAGCGTGGTAATAAAAATCTCCTTCACCCAATGGTATGTAGGCTTCCGACAACTCATTTCTCTCATATGGTACTTTGTGAGGGCTTTCCTTATACCAGTAAGTATGTAACTGAGCTATGGAGTCTCCCAGGGCCTCCAAACCGTAGCTGGCTTTGAATATTTGATCCACATCCATGCAGAAGACATAGTCAACCTCATACTGTATGTGATCCGCGATGTGTTCACTGATGATCTTCATGCGCATCATACTGATGTCTTGCCACCTCCTCTCTCGTTTAATTTTAAAAATTTTTAACGTCCGGTGGCGATTCAGACTTACAAATGGCATATAGGAAAAGTCATCCAACATGACATAAATGATGACCCTCTGGTCCACCATGAAGAACGTATTAGCAGATATCAGGAAGTTTTGTAAGTAGTACCAAAGGTATCTGCAAAATAAACAAGAAGCAGTTGAGTTTCCTCCTCCGGTTCCGGGGACATCCACAGTCTCGATTGCCTGGCCTAGCTTATCCAGCAATGCCACTAAGCAACCAGACAGCCACTGTTCTCTTCCAGCAGCATGAGGAAAGTGTCACTGATGGGCCCTACAGATCATGGAAGAGGGCTCTTCATGAGGAGGACTGGAAGGTAGTGAGATAAGGAGGCTCATTCTGAGCTGTGTGCACAGTGAAAGACAGGTCCAGGGCTGCAGGGAAGATGGGGGGTCTCCGCAGGGCTTCTGCAGCGGGGTTCCTGTGTGTGGTTGGCTATGCATACAAAGTCATGGTAGCAGCTGGCACTATCGCCTGCTTTGTTCTGCAGTGTGAGCCTTCCTGTGGCAGCAGAATCACTGGGCTGGAAAACGTTTTCTCGTTTCCACTCTTGGAAACCAGGAAGAGATTCTCGGGGTAATGAATGGACTCATTTGAGTTTGAAAGAGGAAAGGTAGCCATTTGGGGCTCCACTCCAGTAATGCTTATGTAATCCTTAGAAATAAGTCCTGGATCTTGGTCTATGTTTTGAGAAATAGGCTAATGATAAATCATAACTAATGGTCAGGAGAAAATGTTGTCGTTCATCACATCTGATATTATTTGTGTAGTATGAAAAATATTGCTGAAGTCATGGTACTGTGCTGGATGCTGTCACTAAAATCTAAGGGAGTCCAAGTTGCCCATATGTCTTGTGGCACATTTCAGAAACCTTTATGCCCTACATGAGCATGAATGTGAAAATATTCTCTTATGTCTTCTGCTAGCAGTTTTATTCTTTCAGCATTGCCCATTATCTGTTTGCATTAATTTTTACATATGAGGAGGTGTGGAAGTTTTTTTTAAAGGGGGTCCATTTAATTAATCACTTAAAAACCTGATGTGGTATCAGTTAAGAAGGTTTAGTCTCCAGTCTCATTAGAAACTACCCACTGAAAGCCAGGTCACAATTAGAGAGTGTCTTGAGGTCACACACATGATGTTTGCCCTGTCTCCCTGGGATCTTTACAGTATGCTTCACTACCTCATAATAACTTTTCTGCCCTCAAAAAAAAAAAAAAATCAGCAACCACGCTGTTTTAGGCCGTTACTGCCATTCATGGTGACCTTGGAGTACTCTCAGAAGCAAGATCTTTCTATTTCCCATTTCTACCTCGAGATTTCTTTGTCGTTTACACCTACAGTCATGTTCACTTCCCCCGACACATTTTGCCCTCCCGTGTGCCCATCTTCTCTTTGCAAACTGGAGAACGAATGTCTCCAGTAAAGCTGTCTGTGTTGGAGTGTTATTGCATCGACAGACAAGCTCCACTGCAGGCTAGAGCAGCGTCCACTCACCACCCGGCTACCCCAGCATCCTGTGCTTTTGTCAACCGAGGAGATCGGCCGCTTAACACCCAGTTGGCCAAGCTACAGATTTCACTCTGATTGTCCCAGCTTTATCTCTGAAGAGTCATCTCAGGGGCCGCGAGTTGTCCCAGGACACGCAATGCTTTAGCAGCTGCCTGCCCTCCTCAGACCGGCCCAGTTCACCTCAGACACTGGCGGTTCCAAAGATCTTCATCAGGTATTTATCACCATCTTTTGTCAAGGATTTACAAATCTTATTGACCTTTTGTAAAGGATGAATTTTGGTTTTAACTTCACTCCAATATTTATTTATTTTGCTTGTCTTAGGTGGTTTGCTCTTCTTTATCCAGTTCCTAAAAATGAAGGTTAGGTTATGTATTCATATCTACATGTGTGTGTGCGTGTGTGGTTCTGGGGTTATATATTCATATCTACATATGTGTGTGCATGTGTGGCTCTGGGGTTATGTATTCATATCTACATATGTGTGTGTGTGTGCGTGTGTGGGTCTGGGGTTATGTATTCATATCTACATGTGTGTGTGCATGTGTGGTTCTGTGGTTATGTATTACTATCTACATGTGTGTGCATGTGTGGTTCTATGGTTATGTATTATATCTACATATGTGTGTGTGCGTGGGTGGGTCTGGGGTTATGTATTCATATCTACATAATGTGTGTGCGTGTGTGGTTCTGGGGTTATGTATTACTATCTACATGTGTGTGTGCGTGTGTGGTTCTGGGGTTATGTATTACTGTCTATGTGTATGTGCGTGTGTGGTTCTGGGGTTATATATTCATATCTACATATGTGTGCGTGTGTGTGGTTCTGAGGTTATGTATTCATATCTACATATATGTGTGCATGTGTGGTTCTGGGGCTATGTATTCATATCTACGTGTGTGTGTGTGTGTGTGTGGTTCTGGAGTTATGTATTCATATCTACATATGTGTGTGTGCATGTGTGGCTCTGGGGTTATGTATTACTATCTACATGTGTGTGTGTGTGTGTGTGGTTCTGGGATTATGTATTACTATCTACATGTGTGCGTGCATTTGTGACTCTGGAGTTCAAGCCCAGGGACTTATTAGACCTCTCACTTTTTCCCCCAAGAATCACATGAAGTGCCAGGTAAGTACTACTAATTGAGCTACACCAGTCTTTACCTATCGGGTATTCAAGAGCATGTCATTCAGATGAATGGATAAAGAAACGTAGTAAAGTTGGGTATGGCGGTGCACACATAAAAAGATTTGGAAAGGAGAACTAATGGGAAGAGAAAGGAAAACAGGAGGGAAAGAGAAGAGATGAATGTTGCATGTTTATTTCATATGCAGAATTAGAATACAGCTGGGTAGGACGGCAACACAGAATAATGGGAGGTGACTATATAGCACAATGACACACGCGTATGAAAGTGTCATAATGAAATCCATTATTTTGTAAGCTAAATAAAAAAACTGTGTGTTCAATACAGTGTTCACATATTTGTGAATTTTCCTCATTTTATCCTATAATTGATTTAAAATTTTTTGTTCCAGTGTGATTACAGAACACTGCCAGTGGCCATCTCAAAGGCTACCGGCAGCAGTTCCTGAAGTCAAGGAGACCCCCTGGTGGGCCGATCTCAGATAGGCAAGGGCCCTGAGACCACAGACCCGGAATGTCTTTTGCTTCTGCTGTGACTTTACACACTTGCTGTTGCTGACTTTCTCTGGTATCTGGCATGGTTGAATTGGGTGTGGGGAGATCCCCACTGCATGTAATGTAATATGCATATCTCATGGAAGCATCTCATTCTACTGGGCATTTTTAACTGTGCATTAATATGAAGATGGTTTCTTCTTAAGCTGTACTGTCTAGTTGATAACAATACTGTTAGCTTATTATTTTGATAATAATCAGATAAATAAACAGAGTTTTGATGAATAAAAATAAATACAAGGAAATGTTACATGGCTAGAGCCTATGAGTTTCACTTAAGGAGCTGCCTAGATCATAGCTCAAGTTAATGATTAAGAGAAACAATAGAGGCCCAGGAACCTCAATACCTTTCATCTTAATGCTGAAAGATGCAGTCACAGGCTTCAGTGAGCATCATAGTCGAAACAAAGTGTTTTTACCTTTACTCTGTAGGAATTTACAGAATCACTGCATGGGGTAGATGTTAGAATTTACAGAATCACTGTATGGGGTAGATGTTAGAATTTA